AGCCTGGATCCTGTAGAATTATTTTCCTGTTCTGTTCTGCTCATCTGTTCCATAAAGAGATCAGACTCTGATTTGATGTCTGGACATGGAAGCATTTCTAAAAGCAATCCTGATTTGCATTTATCACCCAAACCGAACGCCGAAATATCCTCTTCCTTTTTTCCTGTATATTGTGATTTTATTGATCTTGCTGCACACACATGCATAAAGCAGACAGATGGAAATAAATGAATGAACGTTTCTGTTTTGGACAGATCTGCCTTCCTGGAGACGAGCGTTGCAGCCAGGCTGCTGAATCTGTCCAACTCTCTGAGCTCGTTCCACTTCTCCGTTCAGACGCCTGGTGGGAAAGTCTTCTTACTGGTAAAGATGTTGGAATAAAATGAAGCATAATGTTAGCGGCAATAGAGTTAGTCTATTAAAAGTACGCCATCAAACAGACAAACAGAACAGAAACCTCAGCTCTGACTACGTCTTTGAGTTCAATGTGCTGTGAAAGAAAAGCTAAGCAGGTAATAAAAGGCTGTTTTAAAGCAGAAGCTCCGGCGGAGCGTTTCACTGACCTATTCATGCCTTACAAATGTGTCGCCTGCTGACAGCAGCGTATAAAACTGCTCTCCCAGAATCAGACTGGCAATAACACTATAATCAATCTTGTGTGAAATTGGATCAAAATGGAGCAGATTCGTTTTTTCAATAAAAGGAATATGTTCTAGTTTTATGCGTTTTTCTGAGTAAGAGAAAAAGTTGGAGAGAACTATCACACAGAGTTAAAAAGAAAAAAAAAGCACTCAAGTTCTTTGTTATATCTTTATACATGTTCTCTCATTCAGTCCAATTTTCCAGCTGTAAGGGTTTCTGAGAGTGTGAAATGCTGTGCCCCTCCTGCAGCTCTGGCTGCTGAACGGCGACTCCATCATAGCCTCCGTCCCCGAAAAGTCAGTTGGAGATGAGAGCTCCATCAGCCCCCCTGCTCCTCCTCGTCCATCTCTCAGAGCCACCAGAGCCCTGAAGCTTCTCTACATCAGCTGCTCCAGCGCCAGCATCCAGCAGAGAGAGTAAGTGAGGAGGCTTCATGTGTCCCCAGGCCTCATTTAATCTTTTGTTGTCCTTTTGCTAATCACGGCTTTTCTCCTGGAAACTTAACTCCGATCTACTCGCTGTGATGGATAAAAGATTACAGGTGAATGGGTTTTATTTCCTAATAGGTCACACTACTCTTTTATTTCCTGATCATCATTGTATCTGTTAAAATCACTGAATGAAAAGCAAATAACAGAAAAAAATAAAGGAGCTGTAAATATACACAGAATAGCTTCTAATAAACATTCACTGAATATGTTGGCTCCCTTTTTAAAGCCAAATCAGCCCTACATGTTCACAGATGGACTCCTCTATCTGCCTCACATCCTTTAAATTATTGTTTTTTGCAAGGTGGAGTGTTGTACGTCATCTTCCAGACTTCCAGACGTCACACTGCAAAAAATTGAAATCTAAGCAAGTTTATTTTTCTTAAAATAAGAGCATTTTTTCATGAACAAAGCAGTTAAGTGGTACACTTTGCTAATGGAATAAGGCAATTTACATTTAAAATAAGAAAACTGCAGTCTCTTATTTCAAGCGCATAATATCTAATTATTTTATTTTATGCTTATTTTGAGTGTAAAAAAGTGAAAAAAAATATTTACCTGCTCAAATTAAGGGTAAATACACTTCATTTAACACATTTTTACTTATTTTTGGATCGTTTTTGCAGTGCGGGTCAATGCTTCAATGGAAAAACTATCTAGAAATATGTAATCGTTTCTTTTTTCGTGCTTTTACGGCACTAGTGGCTCGTATTTTTTATTATTTTTTTGACAGTAAGCCAACAAGAAATGAATGGGGTATGCCGGCCGCGTCTAGGTCTAAGGTCTCCATACATGGGTCGTGTGCGCTAACCGCTGCACCACCAAAGCATACTCCATATGTAAACATTTCTTAACTTTACTGTTTTTACCCTTAAATTTCATAGGTAGAGACGATAATTTGACAATGGAATGAGTATTTTTACTCGTAAAATAAGATAATTAGATAATATGCACTGGAGATAAGACAATGAAATAATTTTTTCCTATTTCAAATATAAATTGTCTTGTTCCATTGGTAAAGTGTCTCACTTACCTCTTAAATGCATGAACAAAAGCACCTATTTTAAGAAAAAAGGATTTATTTTGATTTCAATTTTTGCAATGTTTGTTGTGCTCCACACACTCAACGTTTATTGGCAAAGCCCCGTTCCCTCTCTTGTGCTGTGCAGCTCCTATACGTCTCTGAGACATGAGAGGAAGTTATTTCTGGAGCGCCGTAGTTTCACAATTTGGAGACCAAAGAGAGCAGGACTGAGAACACGACCCTGAGGTGTCCCAGCGTTGAGGATCAGTGGGGAAGATTTGAGTTTCTTCTTTCTCACCATCTGTTGCCTGTGGCTGAAGAAGTCATTGATCCAGGAGGATTAACCTGTTATCTTCAGGGTTAACATGTCTGGAAGGCTGAGCTGTGGTCCACAGACAGCATCCTAAGAGGAAGTTTTCAGACAGCTGGATCATTGCTGAGCTGCTGTTAACTCTTCTAATAGTCTGATTCCAACTTTATTTATAAAGCACTTTAAATTTTGTCAGGGGACCAAAGTGCTGTACAGTGAAACAACATAACCCCATTACACAGACTAAAAAAAAACATACAAGCATAAAAGACAAAATTAAAATCAGAACTATATCAAACTTAAAATAAAAGTAATTTAAAGTCGTAGTGAAACGGCTGTTCCAATCGTTGCATTTCCGAATTCTCTTGTGTGGTGCACAACTTTACACGAGTGAATAAAGTGAATGTCATCGTTTATCAAGTTGGCGGGGATGTTCTTGCAGAAGCTTCGTAAGCAAGTTTAAGTTGTGTTCGGTTTCTTTGAAGCATCTTGCTAACCAGTTAGCAACTTAGTGCTAGTAGGTTCCCAGTGGGAAATTCCATTGGGACCAAGTAGCGCTAAATTGGTGACTTAGAAACGTCGCTGTCAAGGAACGCTATGGACATTTATATACATGTTTCCATCTCATACAGTTAAGAAAGCCAAGGCAAGAGATTAGTTTTTAAGAGCGATTTAAGATCAGACAAAGAAGTAGACAGTTTAATTTGCAATGGAAGGTCGTTCCACATTTTTGGAGCTGCCACATAGAAAGCACAATGAGACCCTGAGCTTCCGTTTAGTTTTTGGCACCTCAAGAATCAGCTGATTGGCTGACCTGAGTGAACAGGGAGGGTGCATGAGGGTGCAGCAACTCAGAAAGATAACGTGGAGCATGGAGAGACTTAAAAACATAAGAACTTTAAAATGAATCCTAAAATGGATGTTAATCAATTAAAATATCGTTCAGCTCTTTGATCATTTCTCTGTTTCACTGAGTTGGAGCAGATCAGTGATCATCTTGAACATTGGACACCTGAATAAGATGTCTGTGAGGGAGAGGCTGCAGCATCAGTCGGTTCCTACAGCTGCTAACAGATGTTTCCTGCCCTGAAAAACCGACACAAAAAAAAAAAAACTATCCTGATAAAATAAATATAGAAAATGGGACCATCTGCTGCCTAACAATTAAATATCTTCAGCTGTTAGAGAAAATACCAAACTGATCAACCTTTAGCGACATGTTTGATGTGAGAGTAAAACCCTGAGAGGTGAACATTTTGTTTCCTACTGTTGGTCGGCCTTTTTCATTGTCGGTTCATTTGTCAGAGCCTCCTGTGGGACTAATGTTCTGTTTTTCTCTGAGGTTTAATTGTTGGTGGATCCATTCCTCTTCCATTTTAGTTTGCTAATTTACAGCCGGGCTTTTAATAAGGGCAAAAAGAAAAATGAGCATTGTGAGATGGTTTTCACTATCATTGTGAATCATTGACCCGTCTGGTTTATGAAGGCAAAACTATTTTATAATACAAGAATATAAATGATCCACAACATAAGCAGGTGTCATTTTGTTTTATTTATCTAACACATGATTTAAATATTTATTTTCATGCATAACTATTCAATTAAATCATAAAATGCACAATTCTGAAATTTGTTGTTAATAAAAGAACTGTTAAATTATGTATTACATAATTGTTACTTTATATAATGAATTCATTCATTTAAAAATAATTTAACTTACTTGACTTAAATGTATAAATAAGTGGAAGTAATGAAATGTGTTTTTAGTGGGTCTCCAGTTTGTTGGATTGTTATTTTTGTGGTAAACATCAGTGTTGGGTCAGCTTTTTTCAGCACTGTTTTAAAGGGAGACTTTAACTGAATGATAGAAATGAACTCATCATAGTTTTATTTACAATTTGTCAAATTTCCATCACCTGATGTGGATTTTAACAGTTTGGTTTTTTTTAACTCATAATTATTTCTCAGCTATTGTCAAGATGTTTTTCTTTTTAGAAAGCTAGGCTGGGAGTAATTATTTGTGTGCTTTAGAATCCTCTAAAACAATTTACTGCTCAGTTAAAACAATACCAATTTTGTATCCTGATGGTGCTGATTGGCTGCGTCTTGGTGCAGAATAAATAATGGGATGCATCCAAAATAAAAATAAAAATGTTTCCTTTTAAAAAATCATCTAAAAAAAAAAAACAAACGGAAAAAAAAAAAAAGTCCACTTTTAAATTAGATTTTTAACGTTGGTTTTCAGCTTGACTGCATCACTGAGAATGTAAAGATGGCTGAATCTGCACAGCTCTATCTATGCTTACATAAACATTAAAGGGTTTTGCGCCATTTTTCCATATTACTTCCTTTAATTAAACATCAAGTTTGGAAGGCGCTTTAGAAAAGAAAAAAATAAGCTCTTGAATTGGATTTAAGGGGAGTGTTAGCCTAGTGGTTAGAGCAATGCGCTTGTGCTCTGGGAAGGTTGCAAGTACCCCGTTTGTTCCCCAAAGCTTCCACTGTGGGTCCCTGAGCAAGACCCTTAACCCCACAGTGCTCCCCAGGTGCCACACAATGGCAGCCCACTGCTCCCCCAAGGGGAGGTAATTTCTCCAATGTACCGTAAGATCAATAAAGTTGAATTATTATATTATTTTTTATTTTTTCATTTTTAATGATATCATGCTGGAAAAGCAAGTATGGAGGCGACCCTATTAGATTACTACTCCTGCTCCAATGATGGGTAGAGGAACGTGTTCCTCAAGGATCATTCCAGAATACTCCACTAGAAGAAACTTCCAGCCTCATTATTTTCAACCGAATCAGCACCTTACCCCCCATCGCTCTCCCTGTCCTCCTCCTCCTCTTCCCTGCAGCCAGCAGGCATGAAGTGAGAAAACAGAGGTTTTGTTGTTTCCCTCATTTTGACAAGCCCACTGGCTGACTGACAGAATGGGTAATTACAAGGAGACAAAACTCACTAAAAGAGAAAGCAGTCTCCTCTGTCAAAGCAATACGGCTCAAGTTGAGTGATGTGATTAACTGTAGGAGTGGAGTAATGCAGGGGAAGCTTTGTTTTTTTTTCCTATGAGCGTGCTGGATGCCAGAAGATGTGGTACTATTGCAGTGGGACAGCGCTCTAGCTTTCCCCTCACATGCTGTTGCCGTACATCAACTCCTTTCTAAAATAAAAGTGACATGTGCAGCTCAAATCCTGGTTCTTAAGCATTTGAGTGCATCACTGTATTGGCATTAGTGCCCTAACTGGAAAATAAATAAGTACCGGTACTCCCTTTAATGTCATACACATATGTGACAGAAACCTGGATAATATTTTATACAAATCTATCTATAGAACAATAGTTTTACTGGTAAATCAGTTTTTTTCTCTGTATTATAAGTCTGAACCTAAACAAACACATGCCACTTTATATGGAGTCGGAAATTTGCTAAAAGTGAACCCACTACTGTCATAT